AATCAGTAAGATTGCTATCACCTGGGGGCATATAATTTCTCCTGAAAAATTCAGAGCAATTTTCAAGTAATATAGAGATACTGGCATTTTTAAAAGTAAATTCTACCACTAATTTGACAGAAAATGTGTCTAATGTTGGTCTTAATTCAGGGGAAACACAAAGAAATTCTAGTAGCTAGAATTTCATCTCCTGACATAAAGTTCTGCCAATATCTGAACAGGAGATAGGTAGGAAAATGAAGTTGAGGGTGAGTGCAGATTAAACAAGGACAGCTAACAAGTGCAGTGTTGGTTATAGAAAACATCATTTCTTAAAACAATATAAAATAACACCAACCATGCACTGCATGCCCTTATCACAAGCTCCAGTTTTCAGTTGTTGGATTCCATCTGCTACTATGCAAAGGAAGGCTAATTTTTTGCCACCTACAGCTCCTGGGTGATTTGAATTTATCTTGTTTAGATGTCAGCTGGTAAAATGTTTACAAGTAGTGTATGAGAGATGCAGAGAATCACTAAAGTGGAGGTGATCCTCAGTCCTCAAGAGAGAAAAAGATAACCAAAGTAATGCCACAATATTGGTAGTTTATTCCAGCTAGCACATGAAGTTGCAAGGATAAAATGAAAAAGTAGCCTCTCTCTCTCTTTCTCTCTCTCTCTCTCTCTCTCTCTCTCTCTCCCTCACTCCCGTTCTCTGTCTCTCCCTTCCCCCTTCTCTCTCTCTTCACACAGTCTAAAAACAAGAGGAATATAACTCAAGACCCAACTGTGTGCACTTAAGCAAGAAATTTGTGCTTGAAGTCTAGACCCAGTCCTGCTTCTGGGTTATTTAATCCACTTTCAAGTGATGTCTTGTCAAAGGTGATCTATGTAAAATATATCATAAGGAACCTCAGAAAAAATAAGTCTGCTGAGTTCTGTGTTCTACCAGTGCCTTGAAAGACCTGAGGAAGAAGCTGGTCAAGCTCTAACCTTACTGAAAATCTTTGTGTATATGCTCTTTTTACTTCCCAGTGCACAATGCTGTGTTTGTAATGTTATCACTTCATATTTTCACTTCTCTCCATATCCATCATTTGTCTTTTATCAATTTCACAAAGCCTTAAGAAATAATTATTTTTTATCATGTATTAGTTTTTGGTGTGCCTATTTGAAGGAAATATTGTAGACCTAATTGTTGTGTTTATTATTCATTTATCTCATTAATATAATTTCTGTGTAAACACTGACACATTTCATCTGTTAAACTTTTCTTATATTAGCTATTATTGGTGTCTGTGTGTGTTTGTTTGTACGTGTGTGTGTGTGTGTGTGTGTGTGTGTGTGCATGTTTGTGTGATTGAAGGCACAAGCATGCAATAGTAGATCTCAGAACTTTTGTGAAATAGTATTCACATTCTTCTACTTCTACATCACTAGGCTCCATTTGTATTCTTACAACTTTATTAACCAATTCCTTAATATTTTCTCAGTTTTATTTGTTATAAGATACTTCTATATAATGCATAGTCTGAGAAATAAAAATATGCAAAATTATAAAGTGTAGACAACGCATGATTTAGGGCTAGAAATTTGGCTCAGTAGAGAAGAACACATAGAGTGTTCAATTCTCACCTCCCACATGGTGTAACCATCTCTAACTCTACTCCCAGAGGATCCAGTGGCCTCTTCTAACCTCCTAGGGTAACAGGCATAAATGGTGCCAAAACACTCATACACATAAAATAAATACATATAAAAATTTAAAAAGCAGTCAGAAGACATAATTAAAAATGTACTGTATTAAATATCACTTGCAATACATGAATGCTTAATAAACCTGTACTGATCTAAACTTATGGTCTATCTGCTTTTTATTGATTATTACAATATATTGCACTTAATTAATTTTTCTTCTTCGCCTTGTCTTGATAGATAGAATTGCTAATAGATGTTAGTCCTATTTCTCTATTAAGGTATGTATGAATGTTGTTGATTCAGCAATAAGCAATAGTTACATATACATAATGAACACCAAAAATATTGTTTTATTCATTCAGCATTACTAAAGAATTTGTGTACACCTGATTGTAGACAATTTCGCAGCAATTATTTTACATTATAAAATATCAGCTTTATTACCAATTGCACAATGTTCAAACTTAATTTCTCAGCATATTTACATCCCTTTAAATGAATAGAATTTTTCCTTTCTGATTTTCATAGGCATCCATTTAGGAACCACTATCTACTAGATTTGTTAAATGACAGACATTTATGTCCTCAAAGTTCAGGTGGTTGAAGTCCAAGGTTAAGTGTCTATTAGTATTGCACTCTGCAAGGAGTATCCTGCTGGGGTGTGCAAATCACTTTGTTCTGTGTCCATAGACTTCTCATGTCTACCCTGTTCTCATATGTATACCAATCCCCTTATATTATAGTTTCATCAATATTATTTATACGTAAGGATATTAATAAATGCTGCATAGCAGTGGCTCTCAAGATGTGGTTTGCAACCACATTGTTGTTCACATATCACATATCCTGCATATCAGATATCTTCATTATGATTCATAACAGTAGCAAAATTGCAGTCATGAAGTAACAATGAAATAATTTTATGGTTGGGGGTCACCACAATATGAGGAACTGTATTAAAGGGTCAAAGAATTGGGAAAGTTGAGAATCACAGCTCACCTCTGAAATTATTACAGCACCAACGCTTTCAGTTTCAGGATAAGCAAAGTAGTACCTTGTGGGACTGCGTAAGGGTATTCTGGGTCATGGTTGGGCAGTTGCCTAGAACCCAGAGACTCTGCTTGAGAACCGGCAGGAGTTCGGCATGCCCCTAGAACCCAGGGTCCTGAAAAGCAGACTAGTCTCCATAAAACTCAGTCATGTAGGCTAGCCATTACAGCCCCTCCTAAAGTGCACCCAAAGAGGGTGTGACTAGAGGCCTCAGGGCCTAGTGATTTACATGCTAATGAAGGCCAGAGGGCAGAGCAAATTAAGCATGACTCCCCAGATCCTCCCCCATCCTCCCCATTTCTCCCTCCCTATATAACTTTGGACTGCCCTGAGTTTTACTGGCGTACAACCAGATCCATCTATCATCCACCATGACAACAAACCCTTTTGGAATCAAGGACTTCCTCGTGTCATTGGGTCCTGCTGCCGCCAAAGCCTCCAGGCCGTTGGAATGTTAGACCTTCCTCCCGAATGTGGGACCAGCCTCGTGGAAACCCCCTGGGACTCTACCGCTGCGGCCTGTAATTTTTCCCCACAGTCCCTCACATTCTTCCTGTGGTTTGTCCACTAGTAGCAGATTCATGCAGAAGGTGCATATTAGTACCAGCTCTGTTTTGTTTTCTAATATGGAATGGCACTACTTAATTGAATATATAAGAACAAATTTTGGCTACAGATTGGGATTGTAGTTGTCTTTTTTTGAATTTTAAGAGTATCATACAGTTACCTTGTACCATGTAACTTTCTAAAACTATTTCTCATGTGAATATACTTTCTACAAAGTCATATAAATACTTTCTTAATTTGACATGGATTCTGGTGATCCCAGTGTCTTGCAATATACACTCTTCTCTAATTGTTTCCTAGAGAAATATCAATAGATCCTCTCAGTAAAGGCTCCCACAACAGAACGAACAAGGAAATGATTCCACCCAGGTATAGTTTGGTGAACCAATGAATTTATTGGGGTTCTTCCAGAGGCATGGGTGAGGGTTTCTTACAAAAGCAAGGAGACATAAGAACAGCTTCATCCCTGAATGACTCCACAAACATGGGTGACAACTCCCCTCCCCCCTCCCCATGCTTCAACGAGGGTGTGCCTCATGTATGTGCTATAGCAACCTCCTTTAAGTGGATATCTATTACATATATTTACCTTCTATAGCATACGTGGCTCTATCCAATTGAATCTGGACAACATACAGAAAATATACTCTACATTTTTCAAAGAACAAGTAATAAACAAACAATGTTAGAACAATGTTGATAAAACATAAAGCTAGTAATCTGAATGATCCTGACTGCAGATTCAACAGTACTGAAGCGAGGACAACCATAAACCTCAAAACCATCTTCTGCTCACATCACGTCCCCTCATCAGCCTGAGCTTTTAAACTTCTCTCCATGGTGATTACATTTATACATTTTAACTCACATTTCATGTTGCCATATAATCAATACAATATACATACACAACAAAATTTCATGCTAATAACACATCAGTCACTCCTACATTACTCTAAATTTCTATTCTTATTACAGCATGGTTTGTTTCACAGAGAAAAACACAGGTGTATACTTATGTAAAGTAAAACAAGGACACAAATCTCTTCCCTGTAGTATTCAGTGAAGACACTTTGTTATTTATGGAGATAGGAATTTAAATAGGATGCACAATATAAAATCTACTTTAAGTGATAGTGCATTTCCTAATGATGAATATGTTCCAATGATTCTTGGATTTCAAATTAATTGTAGAAAAAAAACTTGAATTAGAATCAGAAATTTCATTGAAATTACTTAAAATTGATCTTATATTTGAAACAGAGAATAGGTTACTTATATCTGATGTCCAAGGCTATATGTCATTTCTTGACTTGTTCTAGATTATACAAGTATTGTTAAGTGCATAAAATTACAGTTTCACATTTATTATGTCAACATTAATACAAATACATGTGGTTTTTACATATAAACATAAATCATTTTAAAATGTCAAAGAGATTAAATCTATATAGAAAATTATATTATACTAATACAATATGTTCATATATTTATCTAGTACATATTCATGTCTATAATTGTAGAACAATATAGATATATCTAAATTTCTGTCAAGGTTGAAGCATGTTTAGATTTTTCCTGATCTACGTAAAAATTTCTACAAACTTACAATCCTGCAAATGAAGTAAAAAATGTAAAAATGTAAGTATATTTCATTTCTAGGAACTTATTTTTCTCTAAAATACAAAAAAATGATCAACAGTAATGTTTTAGGAATCTGAGGGTTCTGCATCCCTGAGCCTGCACCTCAGCCACCATGCCATAGAAAGAAATGCCTGTCTAAGCTTAGTGTTGCCCAGAATCAGGACATATGAGTGGCCTGAAGGAAAGGCAATTCCAGTAACAGAGAAAAATAGAGTAAAGAAATTTTTCTTTTGAAATTTAAGGTTACAAAACTGCAAAAGAATTGACAGGAAAAAAATTGTATACATTAAAAGGAAGGTGACCACCATTTTCAGGGCCTTTATGTGGGCAGAAGTGCTGATGTCTCTGAAGCCTGTGACATTGCCCTGCATGTTCTTCAGATGTCTCCATAGAGAGAAAATGAGAAGGAGAAACATTGTCAGAGATACAGTGAATGGTATAAGTGTGAAAATAGTGTTGATGAGTAGAATAAGCCTAGAAATTCGAGCAGCAGTACTTAAGATAATCCTGTAGGACACATTAGCTTCATGTACACCAATCCAGCCATCAGTACATCTGTTTATGATTAAAATATTTGAAAAGAAGATGAGGAAAGATGCCAGCAATGTCACTAATACCACTTGTTTTACTCTCCTTTTTAAGTGAAAAATAGAGTTTGAAAACATGGCTATTTTGAGAAAATAAAAAATGCTGAGACTTGTAGCAAGCCAGATGCTGAAATGATTGGTAACTGTCCAGGAAATATTAATTTCTCTTACCAGTTTTTTAGGCATTATTAAATCTGGATATGATTCATATAACAATATACTTGTAATTATTGAGCAGAGAAAACCAATTCTGAAAATTGCCAGAGCAGTGAAGATCTGATCTATAAAAGATAACTTTCTCCTCTTTACCCAGTCCATGATGTTCACCAGAACTATGAATGCATTGCCTAAGCTTCCCACTATGAAGTCCACACACAAAGTAGTTAATAATATGCACTGTAGGACACCATTCATTGTTTCCAAGAGAATGCTCCAATTTCTACTACAGTCTTCTGAAGCATGTCTTGCTGATTCTTAAGAATTCACAGCATATTAATTTAATAAAAGCTTACATACCATGTCACATAAACATGAAGAATCAGTAATGGGCTGGTTTACAGTTTTCTTCATAAAAAATATTGCATTTTTTTCAAAAAAAGTCCAGATGAGTTTCATTCAGATTCTATAAACCTTACAGATGATGTACTGAAGTCCTCTGTAATTGATCCTGAAGGAGACAAAATTGCAATATGCTGTCTTCAAAATGAATATATTTATTTACATAGTTTCAACTATCTATATATTAAAATTTAACCATTTAATTTCTGACAAGCAAAATTATAAAATTATAATTCACATGGAATTCAATAGTATCTAAACTGCTATATTACGTAAGAATTTCATTAAATATTTCAAAAGGGTGCCAGGATAGGCTCTTATTCTTGTTTTCCAATATTCTTTCTAGAAAAAAACAACTACCTAATAATCTTCTGTAGTTATTCCTTAAATCACTGGGACTGACAAGATTGATAATTTTACTTTTTATAAGGTCATATATGCATACATACACAGGCATTATGCATTCATAAATGTGTATGTATTTCCATGATAATCCTTGTCATTTTTGACTTCTAAAACTCGGGTTTATCATTTACTTAAATGTATATTTCACTTAAGATTTAGTAATGTGATATTTTGTTAGAAGGTATAAAATTGCTTTAATTTGTAATGATACAGTGATGATATAAATATTCTAAAGACTCGTGAGTATCTTCCATACATGCAAATAAGTTTGGAAATATTCCTATTGTTATAAAGCACACAATAAACTTACTTAAATTCATCTGCATAAAATGAATCCTCTTCATTCTCTGTGTCTCCTCTCTTTGTTTATGCATGAGATTCCTCCACCAATACAAGCTTCAGATACTATTTGTTTACCTCCAGTTTGCACCAACATCTGTTCATTTAAAAATCACTGTAGGTACCAAGGTATATAAAACACAATACACACCAAAGGCAAGCCAGGAAATATAGCAACAGGTCATAATATTCTTTAAGAGTTAAACGATAGCCAAAAGTGCAATAACACACAAAAAAGACCATCAAAAGAAGCAATCAGAAAAACGAAAAAATCTTTAGGAAACTTGATATACTTGTACAAATTGGTATATATGGCCCAGCACCGAAGAAAAACTGGATTCCTTGGCAGGACTCTGTATCCAAGTAACAGCAACAACAACAAAAGAAAAATGTATAGATTGAAGAGAAAGCAATGGGTTATTGCATGTGAAAGATAAAATACAACTACCTCCCTCTGGAGCAAAACTGAGCAAAGAAAATTAGACAAAAATATCCTGAAATTTCTCATAAATGCTCAACATTTAGGGGGGAAAATTACTAGGAAGAAAAATTAGGCTAGCATATAAAACATTTTAGGCAAAATTTTTAAGAATAGAAGCAGGAGCGTACCTGGACACAGAAACGAACTCTTCGGATGGTTCCTTCTCTATAACAAAAAGGACGAAGACGACAAATAGAAATGCAAAACACACTGGGGGTGGGGCTGTATAGAGCATGCGCTAGTAAAAAGAGCTGGTAAAGGCCATTAGGAAAACGGAAAGAGCTTGTATCCATGGGAGTGAGTAACACCACTCCAGGAGATTCCCTGAACCTCTCTTCTTCACTTTCCGCTCTGGATAGGAAGCACTTGAGGTTCTGCCTCAGAAGCTGTAGCTGCAGCACTCTGGTGTCCAAGTTGCTTTTCTCTTAACAAACTCATTACTGTATTAGCAGTGGCGAGATTACTATGCATGTCTCTGACACAGTTGTAGAAAAAAAAGAGCCCAAACTCTTACAGAATTAATGCAACGCATTCCTTCACAAGAAAGAGTAACTGTATCTAAGAGACAAAGAACAAAAACAGAGCTGCACAGCATAGGTTCCGGTCCCCAACACCAAGCATGTAAATTTATAAATTGAATCACTCTTCAAATGGCACAATCCATTGACTACTTAGACATGGATCTCTGTGAGTCCTCATGTATCTATTTTCTCAGAGAATATTCTGTATTATCAAGGTTATCCTTTCAATTTTAACTATAAAGGAACACTGTGAACATGAGATCTGGTGTTTGATAAATGCCACCAAGGTACTGAATGGTGGCCCAGAAACTATTCGTTCAATTGTAGATTTTCTTTGTTTATTTTTATGCACCTGAAAAATGTTTATAAATGTTTTTGGGGAAAATCCACAGAAGTTACAATAGAGAAAGGATGTTGGTAGGCTTCATGTGTAGCTGCGGGTGAAAAATACTTGTCAGTCATGTAAGAGACCCTGGGTTTAATCTCACAGCCATAAAAAGAAAAAAAGAAAAAGAAAAAAGAAAAATAAGGAAAGAAATCTGCTTGATACCTAGATTTTATAATGCTAAATGGCATTTTGTATATAAAAAATAAGAAAATGAAATGAAAGTATGGAAATTTACAGTTGAAAATGTGTGAAATCTTATTAAATTTCTTTGCATGCTTCTTTAGAAGTGACATACTGTTACCAATGTCATCTACTTTGTAAACTTGTAACCTAAAAATTAAAATAGAAACAAAAAATTCATGCTTTGATGCAGATATAATAATGGGTTTTATTTATCGTCATATTGCCAACCTTCAATTAATCATTCATTTATTAATCCATTATTAATTCAGTAATAATATTTTGAAAATTAGTTTGTTTTCAATTAATCAAATAATCAGCAAATTGAACTGACATTATTTCCTTCTTCCACGATGCTTCTCATGAATTTGAGATGAATGGCAAACATGAGTAATTATTGAAATGGGGTATCTTTATTTTGTAATAATAATAATGATAATAATAATAGTAATAATTCACAGCAACCAAATTTAGAGAGACAGGAACTACAGTAGCCTATTCATGTGGGATACAATGATGTGTGGAGCCACCACATCTTCCCATGCTTCTTGTACAGGAAGTGGATTAGTCAAAGAGCACAAAGCAGGGAGGCAGAGTGTGAAGTGTCTACAGTGATGACAGTCATACTTGAAACGCCATCACCTTCATTTTTGTCTTCCCAGTTATGTCATTTTCATACTCGCTCACCTGAGCAGTGATAAAATCACTCGATAAAAATCAAAATTAGTAATACTTGTGTGTAAGGGTGTATGTGTGTGGTATATACACATTCATGTGTAAGGGAACAAATGCCCCACAAGGCACAGACTGGACAATAACACCTAGAATCGTTGTCTATCACTTTTTCTATTTCCATGAGATAGCATCTTTCTGTGAGCTGGAAAAAAACTGGTGGCCAGCAAGTCCCAATGATTCTCCTTTCTCTTCTTCCTATTCCCTCAGTTCAGCACTGGTATTGAAGACGCACATGATCATGCCTTGCTTGTTATGAATTCTGTGGATTTGAACTTAGATCCCCATGGTAGTGCAGGCACTCTTACCAGCTAAGTTATCTTCCCTGCCCCCTCTTTTAATATATCAATTTTATATGTGAATTTTAATTGTGGATGTATGGTGAAATTATTTCTTTACAATTGTGTGACTAATTTTCAGCAAATAACACCACAGTGTGTTATTAGGTGAACTAAACCCATCTTCCTACAAACAGTACATTTTTATAACTGCTTAAATTAATTCTTGTTCATATATTCAATGTTCCTCCTCTAGACCAATGAACTCATTTGATGTGTTGAATCAAAGCTGAATTCTCATTTGTTAGCATGAAAATAAGGATATATTCTATCTTGATAGTTGTAATCACTTTTCTTGGACATCTTCATTATTTGTGTTAAACTTTAGTTTTCTGTTAATAAAATGATAGATTCAATAGATAGTTTTTTCAGAGTGTTTTCTTGGAAACCCAGGAAAGCTAATGCTCCTGTAACATCTAATAACTACGTGTAACTGTGTTTGAAAGTGTGTAATCCTGTACTATATACTGCCACATACATGCTTCATGATAGAATTATTGTTCTATTGTCTCAAATGTGTGTCTCTTGTAGATCATCAAGATTCAAAACATTTTGCCTGCCCTTCAGGATTTTTAACCCATCAGTAATGTTTGCCAAAATAGTCCTCGTGTTTAGAACTTTTGAAAAGTTACTGTTTTGTCCATTCAATTTTAAAATAATCATTTTGTCCAATAATTTGTTTATTCACTTTACTTCCAGATCACAGACCCCTTCCTTTCCTCCCAGTCCCACCATTACAAGTCCCCTCATTTCCCTCTCCCCTTCTCAGAGAAGGGGGAGCCACTTTTGAGTACCATCCCACCCTGGGACTTCTAGCCCCAGCAGGACTAGGCACATCCTCTCCCACTGAGGACCAACCAGGCAGTTTAAGTAGGAAGAAGGGGATCCAATGGCAGGAAACAGAAACAGAGTCAGCCCCTCCTTCATTTGTTAGAGGTCCCACATGATGACAAAGCTGAACATCTGCTACAAATGTAGAGGGTGGGGCTAAGTCTAGCCTCTGCATGCTCTTTGGTGGCCCAGTCTCTGTGAGCCCCATGAGCCCAGGTTAGTTGACCCTGTGGATCTTCTTGTGGTGACCTTGACTCCTCTGGTTTGCTTAATTCTATCCCCCACTGTTTCATAAGACTCTCTGTGGTCCACCTGATGTTTGGCTATGGGTCTCTGCATCTGCCTCCATCCACTGGATGAAACCTCTAAGAAGACAATTATGCTAGGTTCCTGTCTACAAGAATTCTTAACAGAGTATCATTAATAGTGTTAGAGGTGGACTCTCTCACATGGGATGGAGCCATCATTTGTTGGCTGTTCCCTCAGTCGCTGCTCCATCTTTACCTCCACACATCTTGCAGGTAAAACAATTATTTACATAATCT